TTCGCAGAGGACCGAAAATTAGATGGTTTAATAAATAAAATAAGTTTTTTAAGAAAAAAATTCATAATTCATTCTCCGAAAGAGTTTCCGAAACTGACGGACAGTTGGTTTGAATACAAAGATTTGATGGCAATTGGCAAAGCAAATACATTGTCTGTCCAAATAATACCATATGAGTTGATACGACTGCCGGCGCCTTACGATAGCGGACGACCCCATAAGTCAGGCGGCGGATGCCGTGAGAGGTCTGTCGGAGACACACAATACGATTGTCTGCAGCGATGCTATCGATCGCTATATGAGAGACAATACGGAAACACAACTACTTGTTATGCGGACAACGATTTACGGACCGTTCAGTTAGCGATTGGCGATAATATTGTGACGGATTCTGTGAACCAATGCACCGGACCTACCAATCGATCGTATATTGAGAATATTTGTCTTCTCAAATGTCCGGCCGATTGTCGGGAAACTATATATCGGACAATAAGAAGAGAAGTTTTATCAGAAAGGAATTTTAATTATATGTTTACTAATATGTATACATCTTTCACATTGACTGACACTTACTATTTACAAATCAATTACATCCCGAAAATAACATTTGTTAATTTAACAATTAATGTGATAAATGTGTTGAGTCTATGGCACGGTCTCACAATTGTTCGTATTTTATACAATTTATTAATTTATTTGAAAAACAAATTCCGATTTTTACTAATAACTCATTTCGTACGGCAACGCGTCCGACGACTGATTCATCGATTCCAGTGGACATCACATTTCAATACTCTATACATTAAGGTATATTTAATGATATAACAAATGAAAAGAAATATATATAAAATTAATAATAATAACATTGATTAAAAAAGGATTAAACCTAATGTCTATAGGTTCAAATTTCAATGTTTTTGGTAAATATATTTTAATTATAATCAAATATGAATTATACTTTAGAGTATTAAAGGGCACTCAAGTATAGCGGCTATACTTAGTGTAGCCACATGCCCAATTAAAATATTCAACATAAATATATAAAAAATAAAAATATCAAACGAGAAGACATTGAGATCACGTTTGAAAATATGGTCATTGAATGTAATTGAGTCAAATATTAATAAAGTTGTTAATAATCGCAAACAATATCAGAAATCTCATTAAAATGTGTATTTAATAATTAAATTTCTTCATTATAAATGACGTTTGTGTGGGTAGACTGAAAGCCAACCATTATAAAAATGGTTGAGAAACGATTAGGTTGACCTTCACATGGTGTTTTTTGTTTAAACTGACAAACCTACATTTTTACCGACCGTTGCGCCACCTATTTATTGCACACTGTGAATTTGAATCTGTTTAATCTAAAATAAGAGTGCCCTTCAATACTTTAGAGAACATTCATGTGCATAATGGCTGCAATACTTGGTTATCAATTATATGATGTTTCGTTCAACTATTTATCTTATAAAACGATTACTGTATTTGATGTGATGGACAATTCAATGGATTAATATATATAAAATTAATAATAATAACATTGATTAAAAAAGGATTAAACCTAATGTCTATAGGTTCAAATTTCAATGTTTTTGGTAAATATATTTTAATTATAATCAAATATGAATTTATGAAATCTCTTGTAAGTACACGTATTACCGACGTTATGAACCAATAGTTAATATACTACAAAGCAAGTTGATAAATAGAATATTTTGCTAATGACATAAACTACACTACCTGTTAAGTTACCTAACACACTTACCGTATATTACGCTCGCATATTCACCACCCATTACCTATGACAGCGATTATTTGTGGCAATGTTTTAATTCTAGTGATATCGACGCTTTGGGTGACACGCGTTTAATAGTAAGCGGTGTTCACGAATTGCCGGGCGTTGATATCCAATCGTTGAAAAGACTTATGACACATAAGTCTGATACTGTGTTTGTTACGATACCGTGTGGCCGGGAGTCGCCGGCTATCAGCCAAAGTGGTCGGAGTCAACAGATAGCAGACAACGCACAACATTTTGCGATCATTCGTCGGTGGAGTAAAATTATCGGAATTGAGGTGCAGAATATATTATTTCACTACAAATCGGTGCCGGATTTCGATCACATAAATGCTGGCGAATACGTATCAGTTGTTAACCATACTTTCGCTATCGCGAAAATTATTAGAAAACAATTGCCCTCTCCGTACGGCCGGTGCAGTGATTACGGCTCAGACCCGGCGACCGGCGCCGAAGGGGACGGCAGTGGACAACCGTTTCGGGCGATCTCTCACTCCCATTGTATGCGAAGGTGTCGATTGCATTCCGCTATGAAACCTAATAATTGTAGCTTTTATCAAGTGGATAAATATTTGCATGAATTAGATTTTGACATTCATAGTTTCAAAGTGATTCTCAATGATTGTTCTAGTCATCGCATGGAATGTTATACAGATACAAATTACGTAAGTATATGGGTATTACAAATATAACATATAAGTATTTTGTAAAACTCATCAAATCAGATAAAATTTATTTAAGAAGTTAAATGTACCAACATTTTTTAAATATAAATAACTAGAAGTGCATATATTTTCGGTAAAATTTATAAAATCAAATTAAATGCAATTTGTTAATTATATTATTGCTTAATTTATATATATTTATCATTTTAGACTAAAGAATTATGCGATAAGTATTGTCCGCCCGATTGTCTGGCAATCGATTATCGCTCGCGTATTGTCAACGATAATAAGGATTACACACAGAAAGTGTGGTATAATCTCGAAAGACCTGAAGACTTGTATTCAGAGCAGCGGTTGGTTTGGGACTCAACTCAACCGATGTATGTCTATAAAGATGAGGGGTAATACAGTAAGGGCCGCATGTACAGTATGTAGCCGCCTGAGAAACCGGAGACCAAACCGTGATTACCGGTCGTTAACTTTGTCGCCGTAATTGACAGCCGATTATGGCTTTGGTTTTGGCGTCGATTTGTCCGTAGATTTTCACGTAATAACAAAATCCAAACCATAAATACTATTTCAAAGCAATTAAATTAATAAATTTTATTATAAATAAATTGTTAACATTACAAATATTAATCTACAATAACTATTTATTTAAAATAATAAACATTACAATAATTGATAATTCTAATTACTTGAATATATATTTTATCTGTATTATCTGTATTATATAATATAATTTTACATATGTATGTTAAAATTCTATCTTAAATTTCATAGGATATGGAAATGATAAATCCATTGCTATTTATCATTAGAATATTAAAATAAATTATAATTTATTTCAAAATTAACAAAATTGTGCAAATACTTAATGAAATGACAATTTTGACTACGGCTTATTAATAATACAATATATGACTAGATTGGTAGTTGTTATTGTGATTGCTGTCAGTGCAAGTAAGCGGCAAATTGTTAAGGAATTACTTAAGAGGCACAGATGACTAGTGATCGGGTCTTGCATCACATTCAAATAGATTATTAATACAGTTTATAATAACACTAATCAGTAATAATTTTAAATGTTATAAGTTTAATTATTGAAACATATTGTTTATTATAATAACATACAATATTACATTTATTAGTAAATAACTATAAGTTAAACGTTATGTTCGTCCAGTATACGTTATTAATTTAGTGAAAACTCGGGTACACTAGGTGGGTCGAAAGTAGAAACAGTAATTAAAACTCAAAAAGAAACGAAGCACTTCACTAGCAAAACATTCTCGATCTGAATCACGTCTCTGGGATTTGAGTACACACACCTCGTTGTCTTTGCATTTGTCTTTACAATAGCTCACTGCCTGTCCTTCACGAATAGTCATGCTTCTGTGTACGATTATGGTTAAATGTGCTGATAGCGGAGTGTACTCGTCTGGATTAGCTATCACTTTACCATTATTTTTAATGCTTCGTCCATTTTGTTTGACCTCTTTCGGTGTCGCCACTACCATAACTATGACCACGATGGCCAGTAGTGCATATGACCAACCTTTAAACAACATCTCTTCGGCTAGTGTTTATTGACTTGGCGTTTAATTGCAATTTATTAAATAAATGGCTTACTGTTATCAATAATGGATGTGTGCCACATATACCACGTATGGTATTTTTAAATTAAATTTTAATTTTTTTAGTATACATGCACTCTAATTTAATTAATGTAAAATTAAGACACGTCTGGTGCTGTTCAAAAATGTTTTTATGTTTATAAAAGTTAATTCCATAGACAAAATCTCATCAAATTAAATATCGAGTTTTAGATATAAAACTCAAAAAGTTAGGTCATTAAATTTGAATTCATTAACATACATTGTGTACTATTATTGTACAATTTACAGATGTTAGTTTGCAATATGGTTTATTGGTCGATGTCTGCCATCTATTTCCATATAATAATAGTTTGTTTTGTGTGAGTGAGTGATTGTGAAGCAATATATGTCTGAAAACTTTTTACATAAGTATTTACATATTACATAAAGTATTTATAATTACTTACACACAGAGAGAGAGAGAGAGAGAGAGAGAGAGAGAGAGCAGCCCATATTAATGATTGTTTTGGGTATTTTTTACGCGTTTAGCTGTTATTTTGTAAGAAATAGTAAACATATAAAATCTAAAGCGTTTACAAGTATTAAATATTTTTGGTTTACGGTCACTTTTGTGGCCCGTAAGTATTTAGATGCAGAAATTTGATTAATCATGTTTAATTATGTTTCAATAGTTACGATAACTGTTTGTAAGACTAGTTTTCCCACTTTCAATGACCGCTACTCTACTAGTTATTGTCATCCGGGCTTATATTTGCCCATTTATTGTCTTATATTAGTTTTGTTATCAATATTCACCCTGCTCATTGTGATCGGATTATTATCGAAAGTGGTAAAAGCGGATTAATTATAAACACTTATTTTTTATGATCTAAACGTTATGTTTTATTTTATGAATAAGTTTTAAGAATATCGTAATTATTGTACATCATTTATATTAATTTTAATTATGCTTTCAATGATGATTAAGTAAGCAAACTCCTGACGCACCGACACCGTCCTACCCGAGTCGCGAAACTGCAGCGCCTGTAACCGTCCGTACCCATCGAAATGCACGTTAAAGCCCGGGGTTTGTACCCGAAAGTCACGCTCCACTCTACGCACTAACGGTGCTGTCCGGGAAACGCCTGTGTCTTGAGGTTTTAAGATATAAGTGGCAAATCCGAGCGCCGGTACCGACGCTTTAAACACTAGTTCCTCTACCGCTTCGCTAACCCGCTCTTTGAGCTCCAATACGTGCTCCGGAATGGGAAACACATAGGACTGGTTAACTGGCGCTCCCGTCGAGTCCAGCACTTATACCGACCGGTCGGTGATCGGCAGTCGCAATATGTGCCGCACCGGCTGTCCGTACGGGTTATACACCGTAACGGCTAGCGATGTGTTCAACGACTCGGTCCACTCGCAAGCGCTAACATTCAACTGTTGGCAAAATAGCTGCTCCGGTACAGACTGGACAGTCCGGTTGGCCATTGATTTTGCGGCCAATTTGGCCACAGCCCTGTCCACCACCCGTTCGCAGCAGGCAATACTCTTGGCCAGTTTGAGGGCGTAATTATCGGCCACGTGCTGTTTCTCGGTGCCCGTAATAGCATCATGGTGTTGCATAACAGCCTGCCATTCGCGTAGAGCAGTCACCTCCTTATCGTAAGCGCCGCCCATACCGGCCAATACGTCCAACTGTTTGCACACCTGTAGAAAATTGTTGCCAACCCTTTCGTATCGTTTGAGCGCCGGTCGAGAAGTGAAATAACCCGTCCAATAGGTGTTGTTGTCCGAAGCGTATGGGAAAAAGTCGTCGGATTTACTGGTGAGAGTGTTGTTGGACTGATGGACAGCCGACAGATAACAGGTGGGCGTTAGTGATTGAAAACCATGTATATTTTAGTACCAGTACCGTACCAGTATCGTTAGAATATATACCAGTACCGTTCCAGTACCGCTAACTTAGTATCGTTTCAGTACCTCCAGTCCCGTTAGTACCTCTAGTATCGTTAGTACCTCCAGTCCCGTTAGTACCTCTAGTATCGTTAGTACCTCTAGTATCGTTAGTACCTAAAGTATCGTTAGTACCTCTAGTATCGTTAGTACCTCTAGTATCGTTAGTACCTCTAGTATCGCTGGTTATATGAGCATGCATATTCTTATAGATTTATAGTGCATTTCAATAGAGCTTTGAATTACATATAATCTAAATGATTAGGTTATATTACAGCCACAGTGCATTACATTGATGATTGTATGATATCAAACAAATGAATAATTAATAACTTAGTACCGTTTGTACCTCTAGTACCGTTAGTACCGTTTGTATCGCAACACCAGTACCAGTACCGTACCAGTACCGAGGTACTGGCACCGGTACTAGGAAGTGCCAGTACCGTATCGCGGTACTGATACGAACATTTCAATCACTAGTGGGCGTCGAGTAAAACACGTTTATATTGGATCCGTTACTTTGCCGGGCGTTGGTGTACCGGATCAGTTTGTCCATGTTCGTGAACCAGGCGCTTGCCGACTGCATAGGGTAGACAGAGAGTTAGGTGTTAGATAATACAATTAATAGTTATTCATACGGCAGCTAAAGTTTATAAACCAAATAAATTTAAAAATGAAAGCAACATTTATTTTATTAGCTAAATATAATGTAGATATAATAGTTATATGTAGACAAGTGACGAACCGGTAGGCAAACTATGTTATACCTGAAATCTAAAGTCCGTACCCATAGGAATGAGCAGCTGATTAGTGGAGTAATTGCCAGAATATTGGCGAATGTAATTCACAAACTTGTCCACAATTTTGTCCACATTTATCAGCAGCCTGAGGCCCAGCAGTTATTACCCGAGCAGCAGCGGGAGGGTCAGTTTGGGAAAGCCGCTCGACATCTCCAGCGGCCGGTACCGCACCCAGGTATACAGCCGTGATGAAGGGTATTATGGCTGTTCAAGTAAAAATGTTCATTTCGGCCATAACTCAAAAAGTAATCAAGATAATTTGAATCTGTTTTCAGATTATAATAACACTAGTCCATGTCCACATCTCACATAAAATTTATCAGGATTGATTAACATTAAGATCATTTAATTTCAAAAAAACTGAGAAAAAAATTGTTCAAAACAGTTATTGAAATAGGAAAACTTTTTTCTCGTTTGATAAAAGTCATAAGTGTCTATGTAATAATGATAGCCACACATTTCCTCTATAATTTAAACATATAATTTTATCTCTGAAATTTCTGATTATTTTTTTTAATGAAAGTTAACACCAATGCATTTATGGTCAAAATTCAACTTTGTCATTTTTAAGTTATCTTTTTAAACTTACAGTGTAGTAGAGTGTATGTGAGAGATGTTTCTTTTTCTAAAAAAGCTCATTAAAAAAATTGACAAAGTTATATTTGGCCCATAGGTGCCTTGGTTCTACCGCTTATTAGAAAAAAAGTAGAGCTCGTGGAGATAAAATAATTAATTGAGATTATCGAGGAGATGCGTGGCTATCATTATTACATGACACTTATGACTTTTATCAAACGAGAAAAAAGTTTTCCTATTTCAATAACTTTTTTGGACAATTTTTTTCTCAGTTTTGTTGAAATTAAATGATCTTAATGTTAATCAATTCTGATAAATTTTATGTGAGATGTGGACATGGACTAGTGTTATTATAATCTGAAGACAGATTCAAATTATCTTGATTACTTTTTGAGTTATGGCCAAAATGAACATTTTTACTTGAACAGCCTATTATCAAAATTGATTGCCATTATCTACTTCTTTGCCATCTATTGCTTCCAATAGAGTGGGCAACCAATCAATCACTCGGACATTAGTATCGGAAACAAATCCATGGTTTTTCAATAAAGGGCTCCAAATAAATGTCGGCACTCTTACCGATCCCTCCCATAGACTCCCTTTGGTTCCTCTCAATGGATAATTAGATCCAGAATTTTCTACAAAACAAGTAATCAATGAATTAACACGAAATTGAATTTAAAACATGAATTAGTAAATCAATGATTACAAAACACAAACCCATAAAACCACTAATAGCTGCCCCGTTATCACTCATGAATAAAATGATAGTATTGTTAAGAATATTCTTGTTATGCAACTCATTGACAATCCTTCCAATTGACAAATCCATTGAGTAAAGAGTGGCCGCAAATATTCTCCTATTCTCGTCCTTAATATAACTGAATTTATCGACTAATTGTTTGGGCGCCTGGAGTTCGTACGGACTGTTGGCTGAGTGGACGCTCTGGTAAGACATGTACACAAATAGTGGTCTCTCAATGTTGTGATCGGATATTAATTTAACAGCACTTTCTGTATAATAATCGGTGGAATAGATTCCGTGGGCGCCGTCGACCGCATCCAAGTTATGTCTCAAATCAAATCCCGTGAAACCCGTTTCAGACATCGTGTGATTATAATAGTCTTCAA